GATTCTGATAACATTTTCAAAAGATCCAATACAGGGTACTCTATTCAAATTCTTGACTCGAGGTCATTCGAAGAATGCGATCAAGATACAGGCCACACTTCGGTCTCGATACCTTCAAGTGCTTTTTATTAGGCACACGAGCATCAGTAAGGTTTTAGATGCCTGTAATTCATTTAGTTTATGAATTATCTTCATATTTGGTGACAAATTTCATTTGCATTTTTTATAAATTGATACTAATTGCTGCATTTTCGAAATTAATAGCCAGATGAATTAATCTTATAATTGAAGCTCAAAATGATGTGGCCTTAATTTTTAATACATTTTACTTCGGTTTTAGAGTATTGGTTTGGCCTCTTTCGCAACTTGCTCGTTTTGCATAGGATACATTTAAGAGCACACTGCCTCTACCAACGTAATCATGATCATTTCCAGAGTGATACAGTAAACTTGCCATATTACATGACGTTTCGCCTGCATTGTAGTCGATATCACCACTCCTGGCACCAAGCTCCAACTCATCGAAGAGACAAATTGGTCGGGTGATGGGCTTAACTTATCTCTTACACGCCGCGGCTTAATGCTAAGACTGGCAAGGAGTCCTGGCGATGCCAGTGAAACGTTTTAGGATGTACCAAGTCCTCGGCCTGACGCTGTAAATTATGACTACTATTGCAGATATCAGAAAATGTATATTTCTTAGGTCTCTGACAAAACGATCACCTTGGGAAAATGAAGCCACTCCAATTTTATATACATGAAGCATGTCTTCTATGTTATCTCTACTTAAAAGACTGATGATATGCAAAGTAAATAAGTATAATTGGAGGATAACTATTGCGCCATATATTTCCCAAATACATTCTAATTGGAAAGTAATTTAAGCTGGCTGATATCATACTTCCTATAAGATTATTATTAAATGTGTACACAGGACGTAATTTATTATTTAAACTAGGGGAACGAATATTTAATGAGTTAATCTTTTGCAAAAATTAAACTTTCCTCTCTTGTTTATAATATATTTTAGTTGGGCACTGGCTTCTCTGACGACGATCTGGCCAAACACTCGGAGTTTTTCAGCCACCATCTCATTGACCAAGCGAAACCCTATTTCCAGTATTCCGCTAGTTTACAGCCCGATCATTGGTTTGAGCCAGTTCAAGTCTGGGAAGTTAAGGCATCCGATCTCAGTATATCACCTGCCCATAAAGCTGCAATCGGTATGGTAAGTATAGACTCAGGAAATATATACGTAAAACGTGGCTTTAACAATATCTTGAGCTCCTAGCCGATTCATACCTAGATTAATAACTAAGTGTTTTATGAATAAATTATAGTTATATGACTCATGCCAGGATGCGCATTCTATATCCAATCTATCATGTAATACTCATCCCTACTCCCATCTATCAATATTCTAACATAGTCTCCAGAAAATCTAAGAAAAGTACTGTCCCTTATTTTAGCTTTGTCTCAGGCGTCATCATATTTGTTCTGGATTATACTTAATCAAACAGATTAGCCTGAAGAGTGTCACGATTCAGAAGTTTAAACATGTTCCGGATACGGAGAGTTTGTGGAAAATGTAGTTCTGATAAATTGAATTTTCTGGAATTTGTATATAGATTTAACTTATGTATATGGTCTAAGTTCGATCCCATTTATAATATAACTCAGTTTGTAAACAGTTTAGGATAGTGTAAAACAATGGTCAGCCTTGCTTTCCTGAATCGTTTTCTTACCCACAATGGACTGCAGTTTCGACCTCGCCCAGGTCTTATCAACACCCCCATCGGGGCTTGTACCATGACAACGCAGCGTATAATCACGACACGTTGAGGGGCCTTCCAATATATCGCTTGCCTTGTATTTTTTTTGCTTCCTATTTGTGACTATAGGCGCTTTTAAACTTTCTCGGATGTGTTTAAATGTTTATGCATTTTCGGGAGAGCTACGAGCAGAAAAATCTCTGACGCCTGTTACGCCGATAATAAGATTGCCAATTATGTCTTAGTTTTGTCTTATAAATGAGTTATTATTCCGTTATCATTGGGAAACAGAGGTAAAATGTTTATCAAAATGCATGACTAGCACGTTGTGCAAAATTATTGTGTTACAAAAAAGGGAGCCATGTATATACCTCAATTACGTATACTGCTGTGGCTGCATCTTTCTGCATTACACATCCTTTGTTTCATTTCGGCCTCTAGCATTCCCAGGCGAAATCACTACCTGTATTATCTCTATATATGCTTATTTTGTAGCTAGGCCGCTTTAGCACCCCTTCATCCTCAACATCCTCATCCAAACATACTATTGATTCATTCATCTCTTAGCTAATCTTATTTTTGACATCATCTCCGCATCACTTATTTATTCGTGTATAATTGGATGTTTTGTGTTATGTATTAGACATTATTTCATGATCATGTTTTATCATTATTATTATCTTTGTCTTATAAATAAGATGTTTT